TCCCCCTCTGCTGTTAAGCAAAGGCGTTTCATACTGTAGAAGCCAGGATTGGTTTGTTTTCATTTGCTCTCAGCCTTAACCATGAGGCTAGAGCACGGGCAACGCGCTTCCCTGGCGCTCGTCCTCAACTTTGTGGCGTTCACTTTAGCCTTGCTCGCAGTCACCACCAGCCATTGGTGTGAGGGGACGAGGAGGGTCGCCAAACCCTTCTGCACTGGGCCTCCTGGGAAAACCAAGCAGATTTTCTGCCTTCGCTTAAACAGCTCCAATGTCAACGACACCCGGATGGTCGAATACATCATAGAGTCCGGGGAGGAGAAGTTCCTGCTTAGAAAGTTCCACACGGGCATATTTTTTTCCTGTGAGCAGGCTGTCGACATGAAAGGTAAGAATGTTTTAAACATGTCTGCTGCTCCACGTATGTGATAAGACTTTACGAACAGAACGAGCAGAGGCGGAAAGCAAACAAGTTTACATTTACACAAGGTACTGTAATGGAGTAGTTTTTGTGAGTAATTTGTCATTTTGAAGTAGTTTCAGGAATAGGTCATTTTACTTTTACTTAAGTACATTTTGACTCAAGCATTTTACATCGGAAAAGAACTTGTTACTGATTAAGAAATGAAATGCGGGGGAAAAAAACGATCTGCGCTAACTGACAGAAAGGCTAAAAGGCTAAAATGCTAAAATCATTTTCTACGCCATTTATTAATATTATATTACGCCATATATTAATATATTATAATATATATATTATATTATAATATATATTATAATATAAATCATACAATTCTCAACTTATGCCACTTGTATTAGAATTGTTGATTAAAAACAACTCGTTACGGGTTTGATGTATGACTCGTTCATTTTTGCATCAGGTCGTTTAAAATAACCTTTCCTCAAAGTATATTTTAAATTAAGTATTTTTTTTTTTACTTTTACTTAAGTATATTTTTACATGGATACTTTTACTATTAGTTGAATGGAATTTAAGCAAAGCAAAGCATTTCCATCTCTGACTACGATGGATTTTGCAAAGAAAACAAAGGCCTATCTTAATTTTATTTCTGTTTTATCCCTGTAAAATTTCTGTGAATTTTATGTCTGTGTTATTTCAATGCGTTCATAAGAATACACGTGGTGTTTGAAGGGAATTATAATTCATCTTTTTTTTTTAATGCTTTTAGGTTATGACTGTCGAGATTTTTCAAAAATAGCACCTGAAAATGAAAGAGGTCAGTTCTCTCTGTTTCCTATTGGTTGTGTTTAGACATTAACTGTACGGATGTCCGATATTAACCTTTTGCAAACACTTAATTTCCGATTCCTATATCAACCGATACCGATATATGCAACAGTTTGCCCCCAAAATTGCGGTAAATGTCTTAGGACCCCATAAGAGAGTCCAGCATATTTGGCGAAACCCAAAAAACTGCGTTATTAGATTTTGATCATCGGAGGAAAAACTGTTGACGATTTTTATAGATTATACATAAAAATGCTAAATCGGGTCGATAACATCGGTTGGCTGTTATTATTAGACATCCCTAGTTTAATGTTTAGCTCCCTAAAATTTAAATCTCTTCTGTTTGCTTTAACGATGTTAATTTGAACATATGTATCTGCTGCCGTATCTGCTGCCATATGTATCACCAACCTTAGTACTCATTAAGCAAGTGGACCAACTTATCAGAAGAACTTATCTTGCCATGGTTCACTCCAATATCATTTGCACCAAATCCTGCTCCAGATTATTGGATTTAAAGGGAAATTCTAGAGATTTGGACTAAACTAGCCTAATCCCTTCTTAGTGGTCTTTCACCAACACATGTCAAACTCAAGGCCCAGGGGCCAAATGCGGCCCGCCAAGCCATTTCGTGTGGCCCGCGAGAGCTTAAAGAGCATTTTAGTAAAGTCCATGCGGCAGAGTTTCTTAACCTGAGAAATTAAAAGTTATTTAAATACACAGCAATATATATATATATAGCGATATTTGTAGCTTGAATATATAATCACTCAATTGCAGAAACACGTATTAGTCTGTTATGGAGTAGTTACATCTATACCAGCGGTCCCAGTACTCAATGGCCTATGGACTGGTACTGGTCCGCGGGCCAGGGGTTGGAAACCCCTGATCAAAACAGCATTGTTCATGTGGCTCCCTGGTGAAGTGAGTTTGAGACCCTTGCAATAACATATTGGAAATATAAAAAAAGGGCCACGTTAAAGTTTTGGGGCACATTGAAATAGTATTTTTGTCTTTGAAAGATACAGATTTGTACATGTTCAAAAAGTTGCTTTTGGAAGAATGGAAATGATTACGCAGCCGCTGTTGGGATTTACGGGGACGTGTGTAGAGAGTCAAACTCTCTGTCTCTGTTGCCAGGCGTCCTGTGGTTGTGCATCCTGGCTGAGAGCATCTACCTCAGCCTGCTCTTCACGGGAGGCGCACTCATGATCATGGAGCAGTGTTCCGGCTTCAGCATCATTAACAAACTCAAGCTCAGTGCCTTCGCTGCTTTGTGCACTGCTCTGTCGGGTAATGTCATTTTGTGTGTGTGTGTATATAAAAAATAACCAAATTATGAATGTACAGCATATAATAGATTTCTTCCTGATTCCCTTCAATTGACAGCTTGTGCAAAATGTAAAAAAAAAATTCTGTAAAATAAAAGAGTAATTTCTGCCTAATGGGTTAAAACCAGTGTTTCTCAATCATTTTCTGCCATGCCGCCCCCTAAAGGACAGACGTTTTTTTCGTTAAAAAATTTAATAATTTTAAGTGTGCTTTATAGTCCGAAAAATACGATAGTCATTTTTTCAAGTGCTCTTCATTCTAGGCAACTCCAACCCCCCCCACCCTGCATCTTTACATGGAGCATAAAATAACTTGCATTTGTCTTCTTCGTTTTTAGGCCTGTGTGGTATGGTGGCACACATGATGTTTACCACCATATTTCAGTTGGCTGTTACTATGGGGCCAGAAGATTGGAGGCCTAAGACCTGGGACTACAGTTGGTCTTATGTGTAAGCTTTTCTACGTCAATGTGATTCTCTATACACCCCAGACCAGGCATGGGCAAACTAAGGCCCAGGGGCCGGATGCGGCCCATCGAGCTTTTTAATCCGGCCCACCAAACTTTTCCAATTATATATTATCTATATCATCTTTTCCCTGCAATATCCACATTTCCCCAATAGATGGCATAGAAAATGATTAAAGCATTTTAGCCTAAAATTGAACAGGGGGGGCCGGGTCAGGAGCAGATAGATGGAACGTTTGTATGAACTAAGATAAATGACATGTTAAAGTCATGCACAAAGGCTAAAATGCGATCATTTTCTGCGCCATCTATTGGGGAAACGTGGGTATTACAGGGAAAAGGCAGAAGTATATGGAGTAGTTACAGTGATACAGACTTTAGTTACAACCAGCCCTTCAAGGGGGAAATGTATTTTTAATGCTGTGATAGTGACTTTCTATCTTTTTTTTTGTAAATTATTTATTGGAGTTTAACTGGTTTGGAAACATGTGGGACCATATGTATCTGTTTTAATACCTTAGATCGGTCCTTGTTCTATCAGATATCGCAATACAAATGATTGTTGTATAAGCTCTGCATGTTTCATTACGTTTGCAGCAAACCGATATTAACGTCACATTTCAACTCCCCTCACAGCCTAGCATGGGGCTCCTTCGGCACTTGCATGGGTTCGGCAGTGACCGCATTCAACCGGTACACGAAGACCATTGTCGGGTTCAAGTACAAGCGGCGGATCATAGAGAAGAGCCTCATGGTGAAGCAGAAGATGATGGAGGTTGACCTGTCTGAGCAGATATGGGACATGTACCTGGCTGCTGACGCCGAGACACCGTTAGAACTTCCCATCAATGACCAAATATTTTCCGTAGGGGCACCTTCTCTGGTGAAGGACGACTTTGTACCAGAACAAGAAGGGAAGGCCTATTGCTGAAAATGTCTTTTTGGATGTTTGGATGTTCTCAGGAACAGACAGGAAAGACATTACAAAAGAATTGTACATACGAAAGTTTTTACTTAAAAAAATGTGGATTCTCGTTTCGAAATTGAGGTAAGCGCATTTGCAAACGATCGCTGGTAGCGATTTATGCTACCATGGTAGCATAAACCATGGTACATGGTTTATGCTAAACCATGGTTTATGCTAAACCATGGTACATGGTTTATGCTAAACCATGGTTTATGCTACCATGGTAGCATAAACCATGCTACATGGTTTATGCTAAACCATGGTACATGGTTTATGTTTATACCATGGTACGATGCTACCATGGTAGCATTGTTTACCTAAACGTGATTGTACACAGCATACTATTGCTGCATACTGTATAATACAATGCATGCTCTGTGTACTATTGGCTAACTGAGCATGCTCTTCCGTTCCTCATGCTGATTGGCTCATGCATCATTGCATCTTTCAGCATCTCCCCTCGTCTGTCGTTCACTGTCTTGTTCACTTTGCTCTCTGTCCCCAGTATACAACTCTACTGTGAATATAATTGTTGGAAAGGGTAATACAGTCTAGGGAGGGTAGATAACAGTCGTAAAGGGTAAATATATACATAAATAATATAAAAACTGCCTTTGCCTCTACTTCACGATTTTTCCCTTTTTGCTGCGGGTCTTGCGGGAACGCAACTACCGCAATAGGAAGAGGGAGTACTGTATACAGAAAATGTTCATCACACTATAATTCTACATCTTTGCCAATGGCGGCAGCGCTGTTCTTCACTCCTGCTGCCATCACAGCGAAAAAAAACTCAGGGACAAAGGATCTGGCATAGACAGCCGCTTTGGGCAGCGATGGCGCAAGGATCACCTCCTTCTTCTTGTTGTGTAGAGTTCGAATGATCTCTGTAGCGGCCTCATCTGGTGAGATTCCAAAAGGTTTTTGACTGTACAGCCCTGCAGAGATAAAGGAAGTTTTCATGAACCATGAAAAAAACAAGTTAGCTCAAGCTCTATTTTCTCAACCACAACAACAACAACAACAACAAAAACAGTTGGTCCAGACTTTTTTCTGTACTCTGTACTCACCAATCCAGAAGCCCTTTGGGCAGGCTGCCTCTGTGTTTTCAGATGCGGAGCAGCTGATGAAGGTGTGGTTGATGGTGCTAATGGAGATGCCGTACTCCTCCACCTCAGCTCGAAGACAGTCAAAGAAGGCCTGGACCGCATGTTTGGAGGCTGCGTCTGAAGACACGACAAAAATATTCATCAAAATATGTAAAGAAACATCAACTTTCAGAGTGTATTTTCTTACTTTTATTCACTATTCAATAATTATTACCGTGTATTATGACTATAAGCTAACAATGACGCGGCTAATTTATGGATTTTTACAGGCTAACGGCCTGGCTAAGGCTAAGTTCATACCTCTAGCGATCAGCGACTTTTCTGGTAGGCTACCGTGTGTTATACAAACAGCATATTCCTGTCTGTGAATGGACGGTAGCGAAAGTTGAGAGCAGTTTAAGCCGGCTGTCATGTTGAAGCGTGAGTTGTTAAAACACTGTTTATGTTCTGTTGTGGTCGGTGTGGCTGATAATAAAAACCCCAACTTCCCTGTTCCTGTTTACCTCTGCTGAGGACTAGCACAAAATGACGGGAGTTAGCCCTAGAGCTAATGTTAGCATCAGCCCTGGAACAGATCACTAAGTCTCCCCTGTGCATTCCAACTACGGTCGGGGCGCGGAAGCAGGAAAGAGCTAACGTGTAACCAGTAGTGTTACAGGCACTGTTGGAAAAAAAAAGCATTTATTTAATTAAAATTGAAAAAAAAATAGTTCTGTGTAAATATCCCATGTTACAACGTAATCACCTGTGGCTTATAGAAAAATGCGGCCTTTATATGTACAATTATTTTTTTTCTTTTTAAATTTAGCTTGCGCTCAGTAGTCGGGAAATTACGGTACATATTTTGTGCTAGATAGCTACACGCTAACTTACTACCCTAAAGAAACAAAGTCATATTTCGCATTTCGTCTTGAACAACATTGAACTTACACGTTGTCCTAAAGGGAACGGTCAGTTTTCCCTGTATGCTGTTGACAAGGACCAGGTGACCGCTCCTCCTGGAGATCATGGAAGGCAATACCCCTGAAAAAAGAAATACAGTAATATTTCAAATGAATGAAAAAGAAAATACATATATATATATATATATATATATACATCTATCCATACATTTTCATCCGCTTATCCGTTACCGAGTCGCGGGGGCAGCAGTCTTCATGACCACCACCCAAATCACATTGCACCGTACCAACCCCCCTAAACCTTCCTG